TGTCAGGACTAAGACAGGAAGGTTTCTGATAGAGGTTTGGATGGTGTCTGGGCCATGGAAAACATTTACAGGAAAGAAATTGGTATGGAACAGCACCTTATGCTTGAGGAATTGCAGCTTGTTGTGCAAGTGTGAAGGAGGTGGGATTCCAGTCATTCTTTTTCCTAACCAGCAGTTCCAAATGCGTGGCCTCTTTTCAGAAGTGATTTTCTTTTGTTTCATTTTCCAAATAAAAGAAGACAGTGTCTGAAGAGCTCAAAATGTTTTTGCTCAAGTTCTTTCTGTCTTTTTGCCCCTGTTGTCCTTTGCCTCACAACTGGTTCCTTGAGTACATCTTCAGAGCCCTAGAATTCTGTAATACGAAGGCATCCATTTAATGTACTTTAAATGGTTCTTGTTGCAGAAACCAAAATGTAATGTTAGTTAAGTGAATTGATGGTTAAGCACTGGTGCAGATAATAATTAGTGGTTTAGTTGATCACCATAAGACTGTCAATTAAAGTAACACTTTGATTGTCACTGTCCAACAGTGAAGCTATACATGATGGTCTTCAACAAGCAGAATTCCCAGAAGTCCATCCTTCATTTTTTATATTTACTTATATCCTGCTTCTGCTGAGGACTGAAGATTATATCCAAATACATAAATTGTACTTGAGACTGCATTACAAATAAGCCATTAACAACTATTATACATAGTCATAAATGTTATGTAAAAGATGTGTCAAAGTGAAATGAAAGTTATAAATCATGCAGTATTTCTCAGAGCTTAGAAGATATAAGTTGATTAGGGGAGAAACTTTTCTTCTTGTTTTTCTCTCTGGAAGAGTTCTCTTCTGGAGTTGTGTGCCTGGCTCTTCTAGAATTTTATATGAGGGCTAATCAGTTCTGTACTAGGTGATACCTTCAATTCCATTTCTATTGCAAACACAGTAACAGATTTCCAAATTATAATGCAATTACTTGGTAAAAAATGTGGATGCAACACTAAATTGAGATTCTCAATGGTAAAGTTCAAAAGTCAAAATAAAACAGACTTTTGGTTTTCTTATAGGTCTGCCTTTATAAGGACAGAATTTAGATTACCAGATGAATAGGACATTTGTCTTTCAAAAAGTCCCATTTTGCAGTGTGGCTCTTACTCAGTGTGTAGCACTGCAAGGGCATGTATGTTGTTGATTGACAAAAGGTCAGCATAACCCAGAAATCAAATCAGGAAATGATGAGGTAACTGTGTTGAAAAAATGACCGCATTTCAGCAAGACCAGTCTAGACAGGTGTCTAGCCACTTCTGTTAAAGGTAGAGGAGTTTCCTATCAAAACTACAACTTCTTTATAGAAGGGTTTTTTGTCCATTCATCCATTCATCATTGATTTATTTTCATTGTTTTTGTTTTTGTGCTTCTTTTTTTTTTTTGAAACAGGGTCTCCCTGTAGCCCTGACTGTCCTGGAACTCACTAGGTAGACCAGGCTGACCTCGAACTCACAGAGATGCACCTGCCTCTGCCCCCCAAGTGCTGGAATTAAAGGCATGTACCACCATGCCCGGCTTGATTTGTTTTCTACCAGTAGAGCATTAATTCTAAAATTCTTTTACTGTAGGCATGTCTGGAGCTTTTGAGATGCACAGCTAGATGTGCGCTTTAATATACTGGGAGCAGAGTTCAGGAAGATACATTTGGTGTACACTGTCTGTACCTGTTGGTCCAGTCTCCACCTGAGAAATATTGCCACAGAGCACAGTTGACCTGGGCTTGTTCTTGGAGTATTTAAAGCTATATATGTATGGTCACCTCCTTAGCTATTAAAAAATATTACTAGTGCTCCTAAAGAATCTCCAGTTTTGAGTGTCATTGCCTTTCTGATGAACTACCATTATGAATAACTTGTCAAATACAATTTTAAATACTAGACAAGATAATTCTCTATATAAAGTTAGTGGATAGCAGCCAGTTAAATTGTGAAAAAATTCTGCTAATATGATTTTTGCTTTGTTTTCTGACAGTAAACAGAAGTACCACATTATAATCATTTCCATGCCTAGTTTGTGAAAAGACTATTATTGGAATAATACAGAGTATACTTAATTTTCTTTTAGAAGGAATGTACCATTCTGACTTACTTAAACTTGAAGTAAAAACACACCACAACACACATGCTACACACACCACACATTCGTGCACACATGTGCGCATGTGCACACACACAGAACATTGTTCAGATTTTTAAGCAGTAGTTGATATTGATGGTTATGTGATTCTCTTTGACAAATCAGGACCATTTTAAGAAAGTCATCTTTCTAATTTTTGGATCAGAAAACAGCCCTTGTCTGTTCCTAGCTATGTCTTGGGAAGTACTTCCAGCCTCCTTTGACTTTGCAAAGGAAGCTGATGAGCAATGCTAATTATCAGTACAGCTATAGCTGGATAGCTTTAGAAAGCATGGATGTAGCATTCTTCATACTGCTGCAGCTGCTTTAATAATTTGATCCTCACATTATCCATGAAGAGCTGTGATTATCCCATTTTACATATGAAGAATTTAGGATACAGGAAGATAAAGCAACTTGCCCAAGTTCACATAGTGAGTCCATACAGTCACAGGGTCTCACTATGAAGCCCTAGCTGGCTTGGAACTCGCTATATAAACCAGGCTGGCCTCTATCTCACAGAGATCTGCTTGCCTCTGCCTACTAAGTGCTGGGATTAAAGGCTTGCACCACCATACCTGGCCTGAAAAGGTTCTCGTAGAAAAAATTTTTTACTGAAGATGAAGATGGAGATCCTATTTAAAACATGAAGTCAAGCATAGGCATCTTTACCTGTTCTCTGAAAATATCAAACTGTGACTGGGATACACACCACACACATATGCACCACACACACAGACGTACCACACACAAACCACACAAACACAACACACACACGCATACATGCCAAACATTGTTTGGATTTTAAGCAGTGATTGATACTGATAGTTATGTAATTCTCTTTGACAAATCAGGACCATTTTAAGAAAGTCATCTTCTAGCTTATGAATTGCAAAATATCATGTGCTATATATGTAGTGATCTCAAGTACTCAGGAAGATATGCAAGAAGATCATAAATTCAAGTCCAGCCTGGACTACATAATGAGACCTTGTCTCAAAAAACAAAAAAAGCTCTGAAGTCCTTACAGGACTAGTGTGAGCTGTGAACATAAAGGGCTGATCCTACTCATGGATTGGTGAGTGGGTATGAGCTTTCTGGAGAGGCAAGGTATCAGATTACATGACCATTTAAAATCTTGTTCTATTTTAATTATTTTATGATAAGTGATAGTTATTTTAATAGTGAGTATGGTAGTGCACACCTGTAATCCCAGAACTCCATAGGTAGAAGTAGGAGTTACATGGCCTGGGCTACATATGAAAAAAAAAAAAAAAAAAAAGACATGGCTTTGCTTTAACTATTAAAAGGAATAAACTAAAATTGAGGTGAGCTTCTCTGGGTGAGCTAACATTTTTCTCAGTCCAAAAACATTACATCCTCAAATTTAAGTTTGCAATACATTTATCCTGTTTATTTTTATTGAGTGGCAATCATCTGAGAAAATTGTTACAAGGTGCCTACTTTGCATACTGCTAGCTCATAATATACATGACCCAAACCTTAATAAGTCAGAAGCTGGGTATGAGGGTACACACCTGCAGTCTTGGCACCTGGGTGAGTGATGCATAAAGAGCAAAAGTTAAGGTCATCCTGGGCTACACATGAAATTCAGGGTCAACCTAGGCTACATGAGATCCCATTCCATACAAACTAAAGGAAAAAAAAGTGTCAGTTCTGATGGCAGCATGATGCCACTACAAAAACACCCAGCACTGCTGCCATTATTAAATACTTGACCGAGCAGTGTGTCTACCATCTTTGCCAGTCCAACTTATAGCTCTTAATCATTTCCATTGAAATGATTTTGCTGTAATATATGAATATATTCAGTAATGGGAATCTGTCCTTTATTACTCTGAAAAACATTACACTAATAAAATTGGCCAAATATTAAAACTTCCATCAAGATGTTAAACGTGTTTTCATCAACATCTTCCCTCTAGTGTGGAGTTCATATCAGAACCTTAGTACTCATGTTTTAAATCTCACAACTTCCTCTAGAGTTAGCCCAGCCCAGAGTAGTATGTATATGGTTATTTGTTTCATGTCCTGTCTATTCATTACACTCTAATTGATGAAATGTTGGTGAATAGAAGCTTTTCCTATTCCTGCTCTTGTCCAATACAAATTTGAATTTTTAGCACCTCAACTGTATGCATTTTTTTCTCAACACAGTTGGCTGAGTTCCCTCTCAGTGCTGTTATAAATTATTCTCAGCATTGGTATCAAAAAAATTATCCTTCCAGCCTTTCATTTGAGTGCGAGGACTACACTCACAATCACATTCCCAGGGAAGCAAAGGAAGGCTGCAAATTATACTGATGTGAGGACTCTGATTTAACCCATGTTAGCTAGCCAGCAACACCTACCAGTAAGTGAGGTAAAGGGTTGATTCTGTGTGATAGTGCTTCAGCACACCAGAAAATTCAGTCTCAGCAAGACTAAGGGAGAGCAGACCATAGGAAGGCAAGAGGACTACTTGGAAATGCCATGAAAGAGGGACAGATGGTCCACGGGTATTGATTGAGAAGATGGGTATTTCTCGCACTGCCTGATTCCCAGCAGATTTCCAACACTAGGCCATGTGTATACCTAAAATAACACTTCTCCCCACCCTTTAAAGGTGACCTAAATGAATTTATGTATTAAAGTCCAATACTCAGTTTTTTCCTTAAAAAAAATATTAAGCTGAAATTTAAGGAAATTAACCCTAACCCTGAGCAAGTCATCTTTGAATCCTTTAGATCTAAGTATATTATTTAATGTAATAAATATTAACTCTGATTTTTCTCCTTTTATTTTCAACTCTTTTCCTCCTAATGAGCAACTTGTCAACTTTGATTGTAGATGTTGAGGACGTGTTCACTTCCAGATCTCTCAAAGCTGTTCAGAACCCTGATGGATGTAGGAGATGTTCACCAAGACAGCCTTGAAATAGACGCAATTGAAGATGAGCACGTTAAAGAAGGACCCTCTGATTCTGAAGACACGTAAGCATAACATCCCTGACAAATGCTAGCATCTGTGCAATTTCTGAATTAGTATGTGTTAAAAAGTCCAGAGAGAATGACCTGTCTGGTTTCTTATGATTACCTTTAACTGCCTTCCTGCCACTCCCCTCAGTTCTTACAGCTCATTTAAAAGTGTAGTCATGGGGCTGGAGAGATGGTTCAGTAGTTAAGAGCATTGGCTGCTCTTGCAGAGGGCCTGGATTCGATTCCAAGTACCCTCCTGGCGGCTAACAACAGTGGGGTAGCTCCAGTTCCAGGGGATCCTACGCCCTCTTCTGACCTCCACAGGCATTGCACAACATAGGTGCACCAACCTACATGCAAGTAATACATTCATACACATAAAATAAAAATAATAAATAAAAAGATAAATAAAAGTGTAGTCATGCATTGTGATAATGCTTATCTGACTCTAAATCACTTGTTAGCAATCTCATCTGAAGCCCAGAAGAGTAGTTCATATCTGTGTTCACTGTCATTTTGCCAGTGACATCCATCTAGCACAGTGACTTGAATATTAATTCCTAAATATTGGTTAAATAATGAGTTTTAACAGGACAATGACTTAAATAATGGAATACCCTTTTATCCAAGGATTGCAGTGGGAAATTGAGAAGTATTAAATGCTCCACAGTGCTCCAGGAAAATGACCTACTTGTGACATGTTTGATTTCAGGTTGCATTAGTGGTGAAGTAGACTGTTTTATTTGTGTCATTTGTGTGGGTTGAAGGTAGGGTAACCATGTAGGAATAAGTGTGTGTGTGTGTGTGTGTGTGTGTGTGTGTGTGTGTGCATGTGTGTGTGTGTGCATGGACCTGGGTTTGATCAGCTTGGACAAGTGTTATAAACTTTGAGGGGAAATAAAATCAAAGGAACCTAGAATGAACTTTGAAAAAAATCACTGTTAGAAGTCTAGTGCTGGCGGTACAGAGGATGAAGCTCAGTGGTAGAGAAATACCCAAGTATGCATGAATCCCCAAGTTTGATACCAGCATTTTTAAAGAATAGCTAAATGATGTTCAGTGTATTTGAATCATTCTGAGAATAAATTACAACACATTAGAATTTATATGATTTATTTTGATTGATTTTTGAATTTGGCTTTATACTTTGTACCTCTACTTTTAAATAGAAAGAACTTGTTTTCTAATTAAATGTATCAGTCAAAAAAAAATTGGCCATAATACATGAATCCGGATCACTACATCTGACACAATTTTTAATTGTTTTTCCTTGCTTTTCAAATTTCTAATGAAACTTGACTCTAAAAAATTGCCCCTTCTTTCCATTTTTCAGAGTGTCCTGTAGATTTTTACTAGTAGCCTAATTGTTTGGAGGAAGTTCTCATTTTATCTTTAATTTTTTTCCTTTTGACCATGGTGATTATGCACCTTGATCTCGTGTTTCGGTAGCCTTGTTGATTAACACAACTTTGAGCAGCTAAATGGCCAACAAAGTGCTAGGTAACAGGGTTCTTCTCACCAAGCATAAATAAAATCAGTTTTTATCTGAGTAATCTCTAAGTTATTTCTAAAATGCTGTGTCCACTTGATGTTTGTCTCTTGAAGTTGTTTTTGGTCCATACAATACTCAAGATTTTATAATAGAGTCAACTCAAAACTAAACTTGGTACCAGATTTCAAAGTATTTTAATAGATTTTTGAGTTCTTATTTCATAAGATATGGAATCCTCTCACACTTTCTTATGTGGCAGTTGGACCAGCTTCACTTACTTGACCCCATGAGCTTTGGCCATTAACTCTAGGCTAGCACTGAAAGGTATTACCAGCAGATCAGTGCTTAGTCATCATAGCAGTAGACAGAGCAGGTGTGCATGGTAAGCTAGCTCTGTAATCAAATGCTGAGTTAAAAGATTAGACACCTTCCCATTCAGATTCCAGACTTCTCTGTAGCTGCCACACAGTCGGCTTGCTAGAGTGAGTATGCATAAGTACAGATGAAGACATTTCTACATAGATGATTATTTTCCTGTTAAATAATTGTATTCAAGGCCTCATGTAATAGTTACATTTTTGTTCTTGGATTGGAAGTTGAGTCTAAACTTTTAGAAAGGCTGTTACCAACCCTTGTACCTTATTTAGTGTTATCTTTCTGCTGGAGGAGATCTTTGGTTTAGGAGCATAATCCCTCTCAGATGTCTCCATGCACCTAAACCCTCACATAAGTGTAGTCTACAGACATTCCCATTTGTGTGCCCCTTTGGAGAAAGAAGCAAGTTGGAAGAGACCAGCCAGTAAATACATCTCTTGGTTATGGTGGAAGTGTTCAAGAACAGAGTTCAATCTTGTTTGCAGTCACTGATGTGGCCTTGAACAAGTCATTTAGATAATTTGATTGACAGTTTCCATGTCTCTAACATGAGTTTTGTTTGAATAAAATTTAAATAGGATGAAACTGCTTAGTAAACTAATGTACTTTATAAATATAAGGTCTTGAAGGATGGAGAGATGGCTCAGTGATTAAGAGCACTTACTGCTTTTGCAGAAGACCTGGGTTCAAATCCCACCCCCCCACACTTGGTGGCTAACAACTGTCCTTAACTCCAGTTCCAGGAAATCCAACGCCCTCTTCTAACTTCCACAGGCATTGTGTGAAATGGGTGCACTTACATACATGCAGGCAACACACTCATTCACATAAAATAAAAATAAATAAAATTTAAAAAATAAATAAAGATAATGCCTTGTTGAATAAATTAGTTTATCCCACATTTTAAGCCCCATGAAAATAGAATTTGTATGCTGACAAATTCCTGAAAGCCAGATTCTCCCAGGGGATTATGAAAGTTATTTTATACACAGGAAGGTCTTCTTAAGAATACGCACATTGGGGCTAGAGAGATGGCTCAGTGGTTAAGAGCGCTGGCTGCTCTTGCAGAGGACCTGGGTTTGATCCTAGGGCCCACACAGTGGCTACCTCTTCTGTCCTCCATGTGCATTGCATGACACAGGTGCACTTACATACATGCAGACACTCATACACATAAAATTAAAATAATAAAATATTTTTAAAAAAAGAATACACACAGGCTGAAGAGATGGTGCAGCAGTTAAGCACACTGTCTGCTCTTGCAGAGGACCTGGATTCCATTCCCAGCACCAACATAGCAACTAACAACTGTCCCAAAACTCCAGTTCCAGGGGATCCAACACCTTCTTCTGACCGCCACAGGCATTATACAACATGGGTGCACTTATATGTATGTAGGCAATATACTGATACATGTAAAAAATAAGAATACACACATAAAGATAAGTTTCTGTTGACCATTGTGTACACTGCATTATCTTATTAGCCTGAGCCAAAATACAAATATTATGTAAGACCTTGAATACATGTCTCTATAAAGGTTTAAGTACATTCACATGGACAGACTTGCATATAGTACAGAACTCATTCACATGAAGATTGTGATTGACTTTCAAAATTACTCTTTAAATTTTTGAATATTTTTGTTTTTAGAAAGCAAATGATAAACATCTCTCTCTCTCTCTCTCTCTCTCTCTCTGTTTTCAACTCTGTTCTCTTAAAATATCAAACTGGCTGGGACACATAGAACATTGTTTCAAAATTTAAGCAGTGATTGGTATTAGTAGTTACGTGATTTTTCTTTTGGCGTATCAGGACCATTTTAGGGAAGTCATTTTCTGGCTTATAAACACCTCAGAATATCCATTGTGTGCTGTATTTATCAATGTATTAATCCTCACTTACTTAGTTAAAAACTGCATCAGTTTATTCAGACTTCTTTTTGTCCACAAGTAGCACTTTTAAGTAGAAGAGAAGGCATATTCATGTGTTGAAGTCCCATCTCACAATGAGGTAAAGTTTCTGGGATGTTTAGTCTAATTTTTTAAAATTTCAGTGTGTTTGAAGAAACTGACAGAGATTTACAAGAGCTTCAGGCCTCGATGGAGCAGTTACTTAGGGAACAACCCAGTGAAGAATGCAGCGAGGAGGAAGAGTTGGTCGTAAAGCACAGTGATGTGGAGCAGATGGCAAATGGGACAGATGTGGCAGATGAGGACGACAACCCCAGCAGTGAAAGCGCCCTGAACGAGGCTTGGCACTCGGGTGCGTCTCCTGGTGGTGGCTGCTCTTCATGCACAGCATTTCAAGTAGGGGTATTTGCTGAGCTCTGCAATGACTGTCCCCAGCTTAAAAACTGCAGTGTGTTGCTGTCACTGTGATGTTTTCACTGGTTTCCCTTTCACCCTAATGTGCAAGAACTTGTTCCATTTCTTCCTATTGAATTATGGCAGTAAATTTTTAAAGCATTTTTACTCTGCTATCTGCTCCCCGCGCTTGACTTACTTTCTAGTAATAAAAATAATAACTTAGGGACTAGAGAGATTGCTCAGTGGTTAAGAGCACTGGTGGTTCTTGCAGAGGACCAAGGTTCAATTCCCAGCACCCCCATGGTAATTAACCATCCTTAACTCCAGTCCCAGGGGATCTGACTCATTCTTCTGACCTTTGTGGGCATTGCATGACACTGGTGCATTGCAGGCAGTACACTCATACACGTAAAATAAAAATAATGCAATATTTAAAAGTAATAACAGTTTTGGTATGCTTCCTGGGTCAACTTCTGTGTGTCTTATGCTATGTCATGTGTATTAGCTTTTATCATAGACAGGCTTAATTGTTTCAATATAAAACATAGAAATATGCTTATTCCTTTTTATTAAAAAAATCAAACTAATATTTAATAGTGACATTTCTAGGAATTATTATGGTAACCTTACTATTTATGTCTGTAAAATGAAAGATTCTCAAATTAACAGTCGTGGATATAACAGATTTTATATGTGCTCTGATGAATTGACAAAATACTATAGTGGTGACTGCTTATACGGAAGGTAGAAGCAGTATACTTCAGTCTCATAATTCACTTATGGAATTTCAGTTTGTTAGTGTAAGAATTATTTTTAATCAAAATATATTTCTTTTTAGATAATAGTGATGGGGAGACTACTAGTGAGTATGAATATGATAGTGTCTTTAACCATTTAGAGGAGCTGAGGCTTCACCTGGAGCAAGAAATGGGCTTTGAAAAGTTCTTTGAGGTTTATGAGAAAGTGAAGGTAAGTGAAATGCAGCAGTGTTGACTTCTGAATGTCTCTGGTTGCATGCTAGTAAAATGTTTTATCTTTTTTAGTAACTACAGTGTATACATAATATGTGTTTAGACACACAGTGAGGTCTTCAATTAAAGTTAGCATTGAAACATTCATTTCTCTGGTGATTTGGTACAGGCTATTCATGAAGATGAAGATGAAAATATTGAGATTTGTTCAACAATAGTTGAGAACATTTTGGGCAGTAAGCATCAGCATCTCTATGCCAAGATCCTTCATTTAGTCATGGCGGACGGAGCCTATCAGGAAGGTAAGGTTTCCTTGTGTCTTTATATTTTACATTTGATCTTAGCCAAAAGACCAAGAAGCGATGTGTCTTTATATTTTAAACATGTGAAGAAAAACAAGATGACAAATGTAAAGCAGGGAGCTCCTGTCACATGCGTTTTGGTATGGTCTATGCTAGAGCCACAGCTATAACTTTTTTTATGTGTGTGAATGTATTGCCTGCATGTATGTAAGTGAACCTGTGTCTTACAACAGCCACTGAGGTCAGAAAAGGGCATCAGATTCCCCTGGAACTGGAATTACAGACAGTTGTTAGCTACCATGTGGGTACTGGGAGTCGAACGCAGGTCCTCTGCAAGAGCAGCCAGTACTCTTAACTGCTGAGCGATCTCTCCATCCCCAACAGCTATAACTTTTAAGCAATTCCACAGTTAACTCTGTTCTCTCACATGCTTTTTTTTTAAAATGGGAAAGGATCTAAAAATAATAGAAATATATTGTATGAAATTCACAAAAATACAAAATTTAAAAAAAAAATAAGATATGAACAATAAACACACCAAAAGAGGCAACATTGAAGACTTCATGGAAAGACTCATAAAACTAATAAAAAACCATTAAAAACAAAAGACGTTTTAAAACTTGTAGTTCATACAAAAATCTCATACAAAATCTAATGGGCTGCGTCTGGCTTACAGACTTTGATCTTTGATTTCTTCATGGGGCAAAGGAAGATATCTGTGGCACCTTTTGACAAAATTGCTGGGCACATTCAAAAGTTCATATAGATAAAAAAAATTTAGATGAACTCATGGAACCTCATAAAGATGATATCACCACTTGCTCACTATTATTCCTTGATTGCTTGATAAATGGTTTACCCTCCAAAACACATTTACTTTGATTTACTTTGGAATTCTTGCTTGAATGTGGATTGGGAGAACTAATATCTACATGCAACTGTGGATTACATTTGTTTTTTTTGTTTTTTTTTTTTTTTGGTCTTTTTGAGACAGGGTCTCCCTATAGCTCCAGCTGCCCTGGAACTCACTATGTAGACCAGGCTGGCCTTGAACTGACAGAGATCCAGCTGCCTCTGCCTCCCAAGTGCTGGGATTTAAAGGCGTGCGCCACAACGCCTGGCTGTGGGTTACATTTTTAAAGAATCTCAAAACTAAAAAAAATAATACAATAACAGAGTTGGGTCAAGAGAGTCTTCCCTTATACTTTGTGGATCTATATAAAAAAGGCAAGTACATCCAAGGGTAAGTAAGGAGCCAGGTGGGAAAGCCCTTTAATGACAAAATGCTTTCTTTTGTATATATTTTTTTATTGAAGTTTTTGTGTATTTCATACAGTACATCTCGAACAATATTAATCATCTTTATACCCCCATCCCCACTGGCACCCTACCGTAACCCTCCACCACCACCACTGGAGTCCATATACTCGGTCATCCCTGTTAAGGCCCACTGGGTTGTCGGTGTCCCCAGCCATTCCCCAGTGCAAGTCTATCCACTGAGTCTAATCAGCCTATCTAGAGTCCCTTGTTTTAGGAAGATCAGCTGTTCCTCATCTAGCAGCAATCAGTTGCCAACATTCCTTTAGATAAGATTGGGGTCTGCTGTTCATTTTCCCAGTTCAATGCTGGGTTATTGTCTGCTTAAGTTTGCATGGGACTTGTGTATGCTGACACCATTGCCATAGAATCATATGAGCAGGTTCCCAGGAGCTTGTATGACTTTTGTTTTCATATGGTCATGTACCTCTTCCCTGGCTCTATCTTTTCACCCCCTCTTTCAAGATGGTCCTTGAGCCTTGGGTGGGTGGAGTTTAATAAAGGGATCCTGTCCAAGGACCATCATTCAGCCCTCTCTTCACCTCTACTCTTTGACTATTTGTGACCTTTTGTTTTTATTGGCATAGGTTCTTTAAGTCAGTGCCCTTTAATGTATAAGTAACATTGGAATGAAACTTTTTTTATGGAGTTTGGTGTGTGTGTGTGTGTGTGTGTGTGTGTGTGTGTGTGTGTGT